AAAAAGAAGAATATTTATAAATCCCTAAAGACAATTCCAAAATTCACCTCCATTGAATTCTTTATGAGTATTGATTGGCTGAGAATGTTCTAGTTCTCAGGCAGAGTTCATTAGTAAATGAATTACTACTGCTGTCCAAGTTCTTAGGGATTTGCCTGGGTGTGTCCTTGATAGAAATGGGATTCTTCTCACTGTGAATTAGAATCTACTCAATGACAGTCCTGAGTGGTGTCCTGGTCAGAGGGCTTTGAGGCAATCTAGTAAACTCTTCTAGCCCTCTGCCCAAAAGCATGATTGGTGGCAAATCAGTGCATCACAATTGCAGGAAGTCTTCAGAAGAGGGAATGGGTCAAAATCTGCCACCAGTCATGCTTTTGTGAGATTCCTTTGTATTCCCCAGGACTAGTTAAGCTTCCCAAACTCACTGCCATCAAGTCAATGCTGACTCCCAGGGGCTTTATAGGGCTGGGTAGAACTGCCCTCTAAATTTCTGAGATTGTAACTCCTTATGAGAATAGAAAGCCCCTCTTTTTCCTCCTGTAGAGAGGCTGGTGGTTTTGAACTGCTGGACTTAGCGTGAGCAGCCCAACTTGTAACCACGGCATCACCAGGGGCTCCCGTTAAACTGCCCGTCTTCTGTAAATCCTTGGATGCCATTCTGGCCTCTTGCCAGTGGTCTCCCTTATTCACATAAATTGTCTGCCCTGTTTAAAACTTAATAAGTAAATGTGCCTCTATAAATTATATCTTAATTGGAGAATCTCTTTTGTCCCCAGAATAGGCAAAAAGGGTTTGGAAACGACTAAGCTCTCAATTTAAGTGAGTTGTTGCATAATATGCCTCTTGGGTTATGGATTCAAACTGTTCTGGATTTAAATCTCACATCGGCCATTCAGGAGACTGGGAAAATTCCAACTTCTGAACTTTACAGGAGCCTCGGTGGTACACAGTAGATTTAGAGTTGGGCTGCTAATCACAGGCGTGATTCAAACCCACCAGTTTCTCTGCCATACAGATACGAGGTAGTATACTCCCGGAAACAGTAGCAGTTTGGGAAACCCTTAAGGGCAGTTGTTTACCTAACAGTCTATAAGTCAGTCAATTCAGGGGCAGTGATTTTGGGGGAGTCTATTAAGCGTTATGATAAAGTTTGAAATAGTGTAAGAATTGCTAAAATGTGACAGAGGCAGCAAGTGAGCACATGCTGTGGAAAAATGGCACTGATAGAGACAATTGTTCCCTTCAGAGCTCTGTTTTCCAAAATATATAACCTTTATATGCAGTGGGAAAACAAAAATGTTATGGGGCTCATTTTATTGCAATATTCGCTTTATTGTGGCATTTCACACGGAAAACGTTTGCACAGCAGTGGCCCAGGTGAGGAGCCCTGGTGATGTGGTGATTGATTATGCATTGGGCTGCCAACCCCAAGGTCAGCAGTTTAAAACCACCAGCTCCGTGGGAGGACAAGGCTTCCTACTCTAGCCTGCCCTAATCTCAGTATGCCACAGAATCCACTGGATGGCACTAAATTTGGGGTTTGGCGCTCAAGCAAGCCTCGTTATTCAGCTGAAAACTACAATTCCCAAGTTGCATGCGAAAACTACGACTTCCTATGCGTCAGACAAACCTTCGGCAATGGATTCCGGCGCTGCCGCGAGGGATTGTGGGAAGCGTGGTTTCCCTGAGCCAAGCGCTCACAGCCTTTCAAGGGCGGGAGAATTTTGGAGCCAGCCTCCCGGCTGGGCCAGCCTCCGGACTACTGAAGGGCCAATCAACGTGCGAGCTCCTGGAAGGGCTGAGACGCGGCCAATAGGAGCGCAGCGCCTTCCTACGCGACTGGCGCGCGATAATTTGAATACATTCAAGGAGAGGAGCTGGCTGAGGCGAGCTCGGTCGCGCGGCCGTGAGGAGCAGGTAACGTTGCGGGGTTGGAAGACTGAGGAGAAGGCACGTTCCTGGAGACCTAGGGGTTGAATGTCAAGGAAAGAGGGCTTTTGCTCTGGCTTTGGGAAGCCGGACGGCACGAATTTCCCTCGTCTGAATGCCGGATTTGGGTGTTTTTTCCCCTGACAGGGTCAAGGGAGAAGGGCGACTTTCTCTCAGACCTGGAAGACTCGCCTTTGAGCCGCAGTTTTGTATTAATTCCTAGAGTCCCCGGCCTTGCTATTTAGCGTTCACACTGCAGAAAAGTTTCAAAATATGTCTCGTCCAAAGGCATTTTTGAGACACAGGCTTTGTGCCCGAGAGTGTATCATAATATTTATTCTCAGTAGCCGTGCAAGGGCAATATTAAAAGAAAACGGCTTGCTCAGAGGTCTTCGGAGGGGGTTATATCTTGTCCCGGATGTTTCATTTATTTTCTGCAGTGAGCTTGTGTAAAAATTATAAACATCTCTACCGTCATTTAATACATAGGCTGTTGAGGAAAACAGTTTTCACAAGCAATAAGAAAATGTCTTGGGAGGGAGGGGAAAATGAGGACCTAATGCCGGGGCTTAAGTGGAGAGGAAATGTTTTGAGAATGATGAGGGCAATGAATGTACAAATGCGCTGTACACAATTGATGTGCGTATGGATTGTGATAAGAGTTGTATGAGCCCCTAATAAAATGATTTAAAAAAAAAAAGAAAAGAAACATGCACTTCAGGTTAAAAAAAAAAGAAAATGTCTTAATTGGAGGGTGAAGCGAGGGTAGGGAAAAAGGGGGAACCTATTATAAGGATCTACATATAACCTCCTCCCTGGGGGGCGGACAGCGGAGAAGTGGGTGAGGGAGACGTCAGTCAGGGCAAGATATGACAAAATAATTTATAAATTATCAAGGGTTCATGGGGGAGGGGCAGCGGGGAGGGCGGGGAAACGAGCTGATACCAAGGGCTCAAGTAAAAAGCAAATGTTTTGAGAATGATGATGGCAATAAATGTACAAATGTGCTTGACACAATGGATGGATGTATGGATTGTGATGAGTTAAACAAGCCCCCAATAAAATGATTTAATTTAAGAAAAAGAAAAGAAAATGTCTTAAATGGAAAATTAATGAAGTGTGAGGTGCAGCATGAAATAGCTGTTAACAGTGAGTGTTTCAAGGAGGGCTTCCCAGAAGATGGAGTGTTTGAGGGGGGCTGGAATTTTGTAATCTGGCTGGTGAAGGGGAAAGTGTACCTTACATAAGGGTAGATACAATGCCTCCCTGCTGGGGTCATGTTCCAGTACGAAACGATGTTATCACTGCTTTCATTTCCTACATTGGTGCAGTAATGTTTTTAAATGTAATTCTTTAAATCTTTATTAGGGTAATTTGTTTTTTCTTTGTTTGAGATGAACTTTGCTTGTTATCCAAGGCTTCAAGTTCATTTCATTTTTGTGTTTTAAGTTTTAAATACTCGTTTCCTGCACCTTGATGGAACATGTTTTCAGACTTTTAAAAGCATAATTTTGGCAGATTAATTTTGCTACTCATTTGATGAATTTGGTTAGTATAATTGTCTTATTGCTTTCAGGAACTCAATTAAGAAGATGGCAGCTTTTACCCCAAGGAAAAGGAAGCAACAGTCTTTGAACTGTGACAGGTGATTGTCATCCCTTGGGTTTAAAAAAAAGGAAAACAATTATACTCCCTGGGAGCAGTTCTGACTCACATAGTAGAACTCACATAGAAGCCCTTTGGGCTTCTGAGCCTGGAAATAAAATCATTACCAAGTGGAATGCCTCATCTCCTGCAGAACAGCTGGTGGGTTGTATGCCACCAGGGCTATAATTTGCATATTGCCAAGACAGATTAAAAAACTGACATGTGCTTAAAGATATATATCAAAACTTCTTTGTAAACAGTGTTTGTTCCTATGAACATTATTGGAATCTTCCTTTTGAAAGATACTTGAATGCTATATTTGGTAAAGACAATTTGCATTGAAATACTATTAAACTAATGGATAATGTGTGTATATATATGTTTTGTGGGGAGGGCCTGCTTTAATGTAACCTATAGGTAGAGTTATTTTAGTTAGCAGTAGATTGAAGTAAATATTGAAGCAAAAATAATGATACTTACCAATGGACTTAATTTTTTGTCATAGTTTATCAGACATTCCATCAAAGAAGTTAATAATGGACTTTGCTGAAAATATATTGCGATCATCTAATAAGAATATTATCCAGAGCAATGATGAAAACAAAGAAAAGATGCATTGCTTTCAACAGGACCTTTTCATTTCAAGTTCAGTTAATACCTCATCATTCCCAACAACTAAAAAAAATACATTGCCGTCTGCAAACCAAGGTTCACCATTTAAATCTGCTGTGTCCACTGTGTCCTTTTACAACAAAGATAAGTGGTACCTCAACCCATTGGAGAGAAAACTGATAAAAGAGAGTAGATCCATTAGCCTAAAAACAAATATGGAAGATAAATTTTTTCCCAGTGTGATGGAAAAAAGGGAAGTAAAACCAGGCTCCAAGAAGATAAACAAAAAAACACAAAAGAGATTAACTACTAAATATCAACCAAGATATAAGTGCATCAAACCTGTATCAAGGAATTCTAAAACTCCCAAGCTAAATAGAGTGGCCTATAAGCCAGTTGTGGAGAAAGAGAATCCTGGATATTCAGCTGAAAATAATCTGAATGCTCCTCGAGTGTTAAGCCAAAAAATAAAACCACAAGTTACAATCCAAAGTGGAGCAGCATTTTTTGTCAGTAAAAAAAAATCTTGCCTTCGAAAATTGCCTTTGGAAAATGTCTCGTTACTGCAACTTACTAAGAAGGATAAATCAGAAGAGACTGAAGATTCTGATGTTGAAAAAACTCTTGAGGCAAGGCAAGTGCCTAAGTGCTTGTTACAAGAATTGAACTTGGAGCTACTGGGCGTAAGAAGTAAAAACGAAGGGAAATTAAAGGTAAAGAAAGCTATGTGTAATGCTTTTAAAACTAAGTGGATTATATAACAAAACAAATAACATAGTTGATTAAAATGTGGTTTTCTCGGAAGTCTAAAGGGCTGCTATTACAAAACCAAATAACTTAGCATTTACTCACATGATAAAGAATATAGCAACAGGTTGGAAATACAAGACCGTTGACCCTTTTGTGGCTTAAGGAAGTCTGCCAACTTTTGCTGCCATTAAGGTATTTATTTTATTAAATTCCGTACGGATAAGCTAACGTCCAGAAAAGCTTCATAACATTTCTTTGGTAATTTAGGTTTTTAGAAAATTCAGGGAGTGAATTTCCAGAGTGTGTAAGCATATTTATTTGTTTTAGTTCTGTTGCAGAAATTAACAGATTATTATATACAGTTTAGAAGTTTGATCTATATCTACTGTGATCTCATGACCTGGAAATGATCACTGTTGGCATCTAGTTGAGGTTTTATTTATATATTTGTGGTTTCATGGTGGTCATACTATGCCTTTTCATTGTGCTCATATTTAACATGGCTAGACAAAACTACATCTGTCTGATAGAAATATAAACAGCCACACATAATTTTAAGTTTTCTAGTAGCCATGTTAAGAAAAGCTAAAGAGCAAAAATATTTAGCCCAGCATATTGAACATAATACCATTTCAGTCTAAAAAGTTATTGAGAAGTTTTTACATATTTTTATACAAATTTCTCAAAATTTGGGTTTATTTTATACTTCAAATACGTCTCACTTTGGATTAGCCACATTGCAAGTTCTTGTTAGTGGCTATCACATAAGAAAACACAGGTTTAGACTTTCTATTTTTGACCTCTCATCTGGAATCTTACCAGAAAAAGCTTCTTTTTAGGTAGCTTTAGGGCTGCTAAAGGGCAGTGTAATAGTCTGGGTACTTTGGAGAAACAAATCCACAGCAACTCATGTATAAGAGAGAGTTTTATGTAAAGAAAATGTGCATCACGAAAACATTCCAACCCAATGCTGCCCAAGCCCACAAGTCCAGCATTAACCCATTAACCCAACACCAGTCCACAAAGTCCTCCACCTCACAAAACAGAGGCAATGATGCCGACTGCAGGAGGAAAGCTGAGTCAGTGAACGAACAAGCATCTCAGCACTAGCAGGGGTCTCCACACGGCTGCTCCAGCACTCAGGGCTGCATTGGGATAGGTCCCGATGCTTCTTGGGGATGTCTTGTAGGAAGTCAATCTTGCAAGCTGAAGCAGGGAACTGCTAAGGCAGCTGCACCCAGTGCAACCATCACAAAACGAGACCCGAGAACGAGAAAGGCAAGGCTCACCACTCTTTTATCCCTCCGCTTTTCAATTAGCCCCACATGTGATTATCGGCCAGGCTGGCACAATTAACTAACTCAGGCAGCAAGGTCAGTTAAGCATTGGGCTGCTAACTTGCAAGGTCGGTGGTTCTCTGAGAAAAAGGTAAGGCTGCATGTTCTTGTAAAGATTTACAGCTTTGGAAACTCAAAGGAGCCAATCTACTCTGCTCTACAGGATTGCTAAAGGAGCCAGATTGGTTAGATGGATATGGCTATAGGCTTGCTTGAGTTGAATCCACTCAACAGCAGGGGGTTTGGTTGGATGTTTAGGGGTAGAAATAACAGACAACAGACCATGTCTAGTGAGTTGGTTATACTCATCACAACCCTTGCAACTGGAGCAATGATATACTCAGTGCTCAAACACTCTTTAAGAGTCATGCTCTTTGTCACCACCCCCTCTCAAACTTGACTCTAGTTCATACCTCACAATCACCTACATTCCGAAACTCATGGCAAAGATGAGTTGGTGACCATGGTCTAAATATCCAGCCCATGGATTATAAATATATATATATGAAAGCAAGCATTTATTATTTATTTTTGGACATGTTTAGTTACACATTCAGGTGTATAGGATGAGTAGGCAGTCTGGAATTCAGGGATATTATCAATTCAGAATCTCAGTGACATTTAAAGCATAGATTTGGACGAGGTCCCTACAGGCTAACTGGACATGGAGAAGAGGCTCCACAGCTGGATCCTGGTGGACTATGATGTATGTAACTGACAGCGGTTTGCATCAAGTCACTTCTCACTCGTAACTCCATGTGTGTCAGTGCAGAACTGTGCGCGACTGTGTTTTCAATAACTGGTTTTTCCAAAGTAGATAACCAGGCCTTTCTTTCAAGACACCTCTGGGTGTCCTGGGACTGCCGACATTCTGGTTAGCAGTAACCACACTAGCCGTCTGGCCCGCTCAAGGTCTTCATGATGATATGGAGGGCTTGAGATCAGAAGAAAGATCCTACAGCTCCCTACAGGTAGCGGTAGGGAGTTATAAATAAATAGATGTGGGTCTACAAGGGAAAAACGTTCTTTTCCTGACATGCTATTGCCATAAATTAATGCAAATCCCAACAGCTTCCCTAGGATTTTCCTTCCCATTCCTTCACTGTACTGATGTCATGACCGCTGAGGCCCTGGGTGGAGGGCTGGGATCAATTATTAGAATAGGACCGATTCATTTGTTAGCTGCCATCAAAGTAGTCCCCTATTCCTGCTGACCCCAAGTCCAGTGGGAATGAAATGCCTGGTCTCATGCCATCCCATGGTTGGTTGTGGATCATGGTTTTCATTGGCCTATTTACTGGCCGTAGATGACCAAGTCGTTCTTCCTAATTTGTCGCCCATGGATATTTTGCTTAGCTTTCATAAAACCAAAACTTAAACTCAGTGCCCTAGAGTCAACCCAGGTTTCTAAGACTATAAATCTTCCCAGGAACAGCAAGCTTTGTCCCATAGAGTGGATGAGCTTGCACCATGTACCTTGCAGTTAGCAGCCCAATTGCTTACCAGATTGTAGTTTCGCCAGAACCAAATCTAGCCCACGAATACAATGTTATTAAAAAAAATTGAGCTACAATTAAAAAACATGTAATAAAGCATATAAAAATCTAGATTTTGTAAGTTTCTTCCTCCTAGTCAAGTATTTTAATGCATGAGACATTGATATTGCTTATGCCACAAAAATCTAAATTTTACAAATTACTCTTATTTTGTGTCTACCAACAAACCCCCTATATTTCAGTAGGAGTGATAACTACACGACAATATAAATTTATCAGAATTCATCAAACTACTCGTGTGCTTACCTTATATAAATTTACCTCAATTAAAATAGGTAAAACTTTGTAAAAGTCAATGATAATTCAGCAAAACAATTCCTGCATATCCCTCGTCCAACTTTCCTGATTAGTATTGCTAGCTATTTTATAATGAAGAGAAGGCCTTGATCCAGTGACATGACGAATTCTCCACGATGCTTTTTTCTACCTGATTTTCTTTTCTAAGGTTTACTTTATTCAGGTCTAGAGGTAAGGTAGTTTAGGAAGCCAGATTATACATTTTAAGTTTATGAAACCAGGTTCTACTCTATCCTTAAGATTCTGTTTAATACACATAATTGGGCTTCTTCTCTGCTAGCTATTGGGATGGTGGCGTGCATACTCTTCCCCTAACTCAGAACCCAGAAAAATGACAAACATGGTTATCCTACCTTTACTCTGAAACATTATGATCTTAGTTTACTTTTACTCAAGGATTTTGGTTTTTTCTGTGCTATATGCCTTAAGTCTCACCAAATTACTAACAGTATGAAATTTATTAGGATTCTTTCTACTTTGCTTTTCTTGCAATTGACTCAAAACCAGCTTCTTCAGCCACTCAAGAATGTTCCTTTTCTGAGCTGGCAGTTTTTAATGTTTTTGACCACTCTGCCTAATTTATAGTCTAAAATTTTTTTGAAGAAATAATGCTTATGACCAGAGTTTTCCCCTGTCCAGTTTGGTGGCCAGTGGGGACATTTTTGTCATTTTCACTATTTTGTTGTGATTCATTATTACAGAAATGATGTTCTATAATCTTTATTCTGCTGTCTTTATCAGAACATACATATTTTTTTTGTAGGGTGACAGATTATTTCTTAAATGAATAATATATTTTATTTTTTAAATGTGCATTTAACCTATACGAAGGCAAATTTCCTAAAAATCTGAAAATAAAGGATTTTAAGTCACATGCATTGTGATTCATAATGAACTAAATCTTTTAGAAACATCTATTGGATTCACCATGTAAAAACAACTATAGATTTCTTACACCTATTCAATATTTTCAGGGTTCATCAAGTGGAGTAGTTTCTTCAAGGGGAGGCGAGCTGGATGAAAATCTGTGTTCCGAGGATGTTGTCGATGAGAACAAGGCAGGTAAGTAGGAGAAAAGTCTTGTTTTCAATTCCTCGAAACATCCTACATGTCTGCGTATCCCCTCATTCAGATAGACTCAGTGGATTCTCTGGGGAATAGAATTGATAGTAGTGGTGGTTGTGCAACATGGTGAATTATAATGAATTACTCTAAACCAGTGGTTCTCAGCCTTCCTAATGCCACGACCCGCATGTTGTGGTGACCCCCAATCAGAAGATTATTTTTGTTGCTACTTCATAACTATAATTTTGCTACTGTTATGAATTGGGTGACCCCCAAAGAGGTCATGACCCACAGGTTGAGAACCACTGCTATAAACTGTATATTTAAAGTGACAAAAAATTTTGTTACATATATTTTACCATAATGAAGCTTTTAAACTGAAGATGAGGCTATTTAATGCTTCATGTGTTAATGTGAAAGTCAGATATAGTAATATTTTCTGGGGTTTCCCCCCCATTATATATATACATTATATATACATCTTTATGCTTATCTCCATATTATATTTCCTATGATGAAAAATGATACATTTAGAAAAGCCATAGACAAGGAAATTTTAGGGTGGAACATCAGACTAAATACACCTAATTACGCTACAGCTTTGGCCATATTGAAAAACATTAGTTACTGCTGGGTGGGTTTTAGCAATTATGAATAAAGCTGTTGTGCCAATTCGTGTACAATTGTGTGTGTGTGTGTGTGTGTGTGTTTTCAAATCACTTAGGTAAATACCTAGGACTGTGATTCCTGGTGAAGAGCTCACACTCCCTGCTTCTCAGTGGGTGCATTTTATATGCAGCAGAATGGCACTACAAGGAATCCTGTTCAGTTACCTACAGCTGAATCCTATCAGTATCTTCCACCTTCTTACAAAACCCACACTGAGAAAAGTCATCAAATTTCATCCAAATGCAATAATCTATTCTCTACCCTGGACTGCATAATATTTGTGCATAGATGGCCTGGGCCCTCTGGCAAGATCTTTTGAATAGGCATTGGCCATCTACTAATCTTAATCAGCCAAGCTTTTACACAGGCCACATCAGAAACGTGTTTCTTTCCCCCCTCAGCTTTAGCAGGAGCCCTGGTGCCATAGTTGTTACCTATCTGAAAGTTCAACAGTTCAAAACCACCAACCAACAACCCCACAGGATAAGACAGGACTTCCTACTTTAAAGAGTTAGTCTTGGAACTCACTGGGGCAGTTCTACACTGTCCGGTAGAGTCACTATATTGAGTCAGCATGAACTCAATGGCAGCAAGAGATATCCTCAGCGGTAGCATGTCATTCCTTATGTAATGGTAACTAATATAACTATTAAACAGCGTAGTCCTATTCACACCCTCTACTAAGGTCAGAACTCAATCTCTTCCCATTCCTGTTTGTCAGCGGTAATGCCCTCCAAAATGGCTTATGAAATCCAGAACAATTATATATCACATAAGGGATTGTGGCTGAAAGGGCCATATGAATTGAGTATAACTCAAATCCACCAGCTATTCCACAGGAGAAATATGTGGCAGTCAGGAGCTGTAAAGATTTATGGCCTTAGAAACCACGTGAGGCAGTTTTGTCCTGCCCTCCAGGGTTGCTGTGAACTGGAATTGACACCTTGGCAGTCGGTTTGGCTTAGTTTGGTAATGGCTATTGACATTGAGCATCTTCTCATATGCCTGTTTGTCTTTGGTGAAATATCTATTGAAACCCTTCCCTCATATTTTGATTGAGTTGTTTGTTTTCTTGTTTTTAAGTTCTAAAGAGGTATTTTGCATAATTTGGGTATTAGATAATTGGATATGTAATTCCCAAATGTTTTCTCCCAATCTATAAGTTGTCTTTTTACTTTAAGTATTTAATTTTTATAATTGTCCTTATTGTGGTTTTATGTTCATAGAAGTCTTGAAATTGAATATGAATGTTTAATAACCTTTAAAATCTTAGGATTTTGGGCATTGATTTAATTTTATAAGTTACTCCAATTTTTTTCCCACCAGCTCTTCCTGAGCCTATAGTCTACCCGATTTTCAGTGTGTCTTCAGCCAATACAAAAAGGTAGGGATGGTTCTTTTTACCGTCTATTTAAATAATTTTGACATTCTTTTGGCCCTGCAACTTAAATACTATTGCATAGTCAACCTTAAGTGGTTCAAGTCAAGTATATTAATTATGTAGGCCTTCTGGGTTTCATTTTCCTTTCTTATCTTACTTAATTTGAGGAACATTTGTTCTTCACCAAGGGGACATTGAAACTGGGAGAATTTCATACAAACATCATTAAAACTTAAAATTAAGAGACAGCTTGATTTTATGAGCTTAAGTAATAATTGCTAACATTATAAGTATCTCTGTACATAATTGTAGTTCATATATAATATCTCACGTCACCCTCACAACAACCTATTGTTAATTCCATTTTCAGTTGAAGAAAGTAGTTTAGCTAAGATTGTATAGCCAGTAAGTGGCTGAACTAGAAGCGACATGTGATTTCAATAGAATATTTTTGCTTTAGAGAAATACTACCACCTGTCAGTTTATCATAATGTCGCTGTGATGCTATAAATCACAGCTAAAACTACCACTGTTGTATTCAAAACTAAGAAGAGATGTGTATAGAATATGATACATGGAATTTGATGATAAATAATTTAGATGGTAAGCAAGGAACTTCTTGGCTAAACTTTTCCTACTGTGAGGGCACTTTTCAATCACCTAAGAGATTGGGTTGTGTAGGCAACTTTTCCCTTTCAAAGGTGATGTTCCTAGGTTGGGTTGTATTTTTTTTTTAACCTTTCCCTTTTCTTATCTGTCGCCTTTTCTTATGACTTTACTAAGGACAGAAGTATATGACAATTAGTTGGTAAAAGTATGTAATTTAGTATAAGGAGATACTGGGATTTCATTAGGTTTTGTCATATGAAGTTGCTCATTATCGTTCAAAAAGTGTCAAATAGTGGTTTCTACTTTTGGTATAGTACAGAATCTCTGGGTCCATAGTCTCACATTTGTTTATTCATATGACTATAACTACTCAAATCAATGTGGTATTGAACTATACTCATTTCTAAGGATGTGAAGATAAGTAATACATAGTCCTGTTGACACGGAAGTTGCTGCTAGAAGAGGGCAGTCATTTATTTTTAGTTTTTTCTTTCTGATAGCTTTTTCTATCAGCAGTTAACTCTTATCTTTCCAGTGCCCACTGCCACCAGGTCCATTAAGGCACATGGTGGTCTTAAAGACAGAGTAGAAGTGTCCCTTTTGAGGGCAGTCATTTAAGCAATAAATTGTTAGAATTATTGAAGTAGAAATGTAGAGATTGTGGGTCATGTGGGAGTGAGTGAGCAAAGGTTGCCTAATGCAGATGGGGTCACTGACCAAGACAATATTTTTCATACTGCAGGTAGCAACCTATTGATAGCTTGGCAAATCAGTTGAAGGGCATCATCGTCTCGATTCACAGAGGAATTGTGCTTAATAACACTTGTCTTGGTTATATATGCATGATTGTTTTCACAGATAAGAATGTTAGCTGTATTTCTTATCATAAGTTTGTCAAATCCGTTTGAAAACTTCTCTTCTAGACATGGCAATATGAGCCTTGCTTAGTTTAAAGCACTGATCAGGTTTTGTTTTTGTTTTTTCCAGTTTCTTCCAATTTTGTCAGGTTTTCTTTTTTCCTCCTTGAACTTTTGTAGACACTGTTTTTTTGAGGGGGTTTTCTGTTGTATTTACTTCTACTCTTAGAGATTTATCCCTGGAAAATCAAGATCTTTTCATTATAATTTGACAATTGGTTATAAATTTAAATACCTACAGAGACATCTAGGGTGGGTGGGGTTTGGAGCCAGTGATAAAAATTTAAATAAGGGAAATAAATAAATTAATTAATTTTAAAATTTTAAACAAGGATTTTTGCAAGTGTATACCCCATTTTTAAGAGTCTATCCTTTTAACTTCAATGCCTGGAAGGAAGGTTGGGGTAGTGATCCTATGATGTGCTTAAGGTATCATCCAGTTGGTTTTGACTCATGTCAACCCTATATACAACAATAAAACACTACCCTGTCCAATGCCATCCTTACAGTCATTGGTAGGTCCTGGCCCATCTCAGCCAGTGTCAGTCCATCTTGTTGAAGGTCTTCCTCTTTTTGCCGCTTCTACTTTTCTAAGCATGATATCCTTTTCCAGGTACTGGTCTCTCCTGATAATATGTTCAAAGGACATGTTAGATGTGAGACTTTGTCTCACATAATCTTACAGTGTCTCTTGAAATATTAGAAATATACATATTTAAGTGAAAGTTGTAAATATAAAAATATTGGAAGCTAATCCAAAATTTAAAGGAGCCCTAGTTTAATTCAAACCCACCCAATGGCACCATGTGAGGAAAGACCTTGCAGACACAGCTCCAGTCTCATGGGGGGTCGGGTCTTGTGATGGGCCTTCTCAAGATAGAAACCTATGGCTAAACCTCCGCCTGTGGCTACAATCCAATGTGGGAATGGGTTCTGTTAGGTTTCTCGAGTGAGAAACCTCGGTTCTTGCTTCCCAACACTGAAAGAATTCACACGGCAGAAGCAATTTTGTAATCCGAGTGATTTTATGAGGGGAAGGAAAGTTTAAAGTATTACAGTCTCCAAAAAGTACATGCTGTTTCTGGAAAATGTACAAGACTGTGCGGAAACCAAGCAGAGTTTGCAACTGAACGCAAAAAAACATGTGGAAAGAATACAAGATCATGCAACCACATGGGCAGAATCAAGAAATCCCCAGAAGCCAAGAGCATTCAGGCCCTCACGGGCACGCGGGAGGAATCTCATCCTTCATTTGCTTGCAGCACACACATGAATTAGATAGAGCACAGAAAAAAAGGGGGCCTGTGGCCTGCCTTTGACATGCTTTTAACTCCTCCAGCTGGGAAGGCATGGCTGAAGACATTGGCTGACCTTTTTGGCTGAGTTTAAGAGCATCTGGGTGATGTCATACTGCTGGCGCCTCAGGTGGGTGTGCCCAGGTGGGCAACTACGTAGGCCTAGATGGCTTGAGTCTGAGCATGTTCAATTCTGGATTTTCCCATAGGTGTCTAATTAGTGTGCCTGATTTCTTTCCAACCCCTTTATTGTGGCACAGACAGCTAATTTTCACTTATCGCAGGCATTAGGGAAGATAACCCCCAACTCGCCCCCCTTGTCCCTAATGTAGCAAGCTGTCAGTTCTGTCAATGAGACAGGATTAAAGTAGGATGTGTTTTTAGTCCATCTCATTTTAGACACCAAACCCTCTACCATCAAGTGATTCCCACTCTTAGCAACCTTATAGGGCAGAGTAGCGCTGTCCATTTGGAAGCAGACAGCCTCACTGTTCTCTCTCAAAGCACTGGTGAGTTCAAACACTGAACTTGTGGTTAGCAGCTCAGTGCAAAACCCACTTTGTCACTAGAGCTTTTTTGAGACACAAAAGTGCTAAGAATTAGAGACGGAGGAAGAGAGACACCAAGTCATGTGAAGATTGCCCAGAAGCAGAAAATCAGTAGAGATAAAGATTTTCCTACAGAATCAACAAAGGGAGAAGCCTTCCCCTAGGGTCAGCATCCTGAATGTGGACTTAAAGCCTTCTGAGCTGTGAGAAAAATCTGTTAAAGCCACTTGTTTAAGACCATTGCTATGAGTCATTTGACAGTACTCCACCCAATAACAACAATCTAAAGTTTGAAACACTATGAGCCAATAAAATATATTGATAGCTGGATTTGGCCTGCAAGGCTCCAGCTAATCCTTTAAACTGTTCCAGACATTCTGCCCTAATTGGAAAATATATATTTTTCTTTAAGAATTTCAAATTAGTGAGGTGTTGCTTTAAGTATCAACTAAAAAGTTTGGATCACAATATGACTTTCTGGTTCTGAGACTCCACTTACTTTTTGATTCTGAGACTCCACTTCCTAGTCCCCAGGAATGTTTTTATCCTTAGATGAGCAAATATTATTCCAGGATTTAATTTTTTTTAAGATCATTTATAAATGTCAAATTAATTTACCAGGAGATTGCTTTTGTGCATCTGCTGCTCAAGCTTGTAGTTAGACCAGGTTTTGAGCTTTCAGATTACCTACCATTCTCTAGTTACTTATCCTTGAGCCGGTCGTTGATCCTCTCTTAAGTGGGCCTCATATTCTTTGCTCTACCTCTGACTTCATCAAGTTACTGTCAAATAGAAAGCACTGACAATGGCAAGGTGCTCTGCAAGTATTGTTACAGAACTCTGCTTTTATTTTAATTTTTTAAACATTTTTCAGTTAGTAAATGCTCTTTATTTCTATTTCAAGGTCTCTAGCTGAAGAACAATCTTCTGTGGGCTCCAGCATATCTACTAACTTGAAACAGACCACTACACCGAAAAATGCCAAGGATACAAATAGAGAAATAAAAGACCAGTTCATCATTGTGAGTACATATGAAATAAAGAACCACCTTCTCAGTGTCTCACTTGTAGAAGATTAGTTCAGACATATGTCTAGACATTCATTGTTAGCACAGGTTAAAAACATTCTGAGTTTTTGTCTAGACATTCATTGTTAGCACGGGTTAAAAACATTCTGAGTTTTTGTCAGTCTATTGCATTTAAAACTAGTCAGTAAACTTTAAACTGATAGTGTTGGACAATGTTAGTAGTTAAGTAAAATGCTAATATATGAGTTATCTCCTAGTAAGAAAAATTAATGAGAATACTTACACTGTGTTGGACATTGGCTTGGCAAACTACAGCTAGGGGCTAGTTCTGGCCCATGACCTGGGAGCTAAAAAGGCTTCTTACTGTTGTTTTTTAAGGCTTGGAAAAAAGAAGAATGTGTATATATAAGCCACAAAGCCTAAAATATTTATAAATATAAGCTATTAATAGGAAAGTTTTGCCAACCACTGTATGAGTCTGATGAGTATCTCATTGTTAACTCACTGTTGAGTCAATTTTGATATGGCAACCCATATGTGCACCATAGAACCACTGCCATCAAGTTGATTCTGACTCACAGTGACCCCAATGCGTAGAGTTGAGCTGCTCCTTTGAGTTTCTGGGGTTTTACATCTTTGTGAAAACAGTCTCATTTTTCTCTGAGTGGCTCATGGGTTCAAGTCATGTCCTAGGGTTTAGCAGGCTCAGTGCATGGTCACCGAGGCTTTGGAACTGCTCCTTGGAGCATTCAAAACTGGTCTGTCAGAAGCAGATCACCAAACCTAGCTTCTGGGTTACCTCAGGTTGGGTTTGAGCCACCAACTGCTAATAGTTGAACACTTAACCATTTGCACACTCCAGGAACTCCTTACAGTAAGGATGGAAACCAAAGTAAACTCACAGTGAGGATAGAACTAGAGTGCCTCATTTTTGCCCTTCCTCTAGAAAATAAGGCTTTTTTAAAAGGTCTTTCATTGAAGAACTTTATAAGGAAGTTCCATAATTTCTCCTATGTGTAGTTATGATTTTATCTTATTCTTTATAAGAACTATGGGTCTAGCAAAAGAATGTTGTTTTTACGCTATCCACTCAAAGAGAGAATTCCATTTATTGCATACTGAGGTCTCTTCCTATTCCATTTCCATTTTGGTACAGGGGTAGAAGCCAATGTAAAGAAAAGTGAGAAGTTTGAAATATGAAAAAATGGTTTTTCTGACCTAAATTTATCACCATTTGTGATATGTTTAGATGGAATTTTTTTCACCACCCCCAATTACAGGATGCAGGTCAGAAACATTTTGGCACTACTATGTGCAGGTCTTGTGGCATGATTTATACTGCTTCCAACCCTGAGGATGAACTGCAGCATGGTCAGTATCATCAGAGATTTCTGGAAGGAATCAATTATACAGTAAGTCAGAAGATAATCTTCCAGCATGTTCT